CCCCCCCCTCCTCTCCGAACACAAGCCGATTGTCTTTTGTGAACGCGTCGACCCACTCTAATCAGAACGCAAGCTTTCGGTCTCTCCCCGCTGCCGCCGCTGCAGCAGCCCTTATTCGCCCCACGGCGGCGCGGCACGGCCAGTGTAGCTCGCAAACCTCCTCCTTGCTTGCTACACAGAAAAAAAAAAGAGATTCCACAAAATGAAAAAAAAATCTGGTGTGGCCCATGATAAATAAAAAGCCTGCCGGAATTCCTTTGCTTTTCACTCCGACCAGCGCGGCGCGATGCTCGATTTTCGCGCCGCCTACCACCGTCTCATAAAACGGCTTATCTCGCCCGCCTTTCAAGGGGGCGCCGCCATCACTTCATCAAAGGCGAGCGGCGCGAGGAGGGCGGCGCGCGGCAAGTTTAAAATCAACAGAGAGACGCTCGGCCTGCTCAACCCCTTGCTCGCCTCCAGGAGGGGCTCGGGGGGCCAGCGGGGGCCTCTCGCCGATGAGCAAGAAGAAGAGCAGCAGCAGCAGCAGGGCACCCCTATCCCAGTCACTGCTCAGTCGAAAAGAAAAATAATTACACTGAAAGTGCGAGTGCGGCCGGTGCGCGAAGCCGGGAGTTGAGAGGAGGAGGGAGGTGGGGTGCAGTAGCAGTGTTATTTTCTTAAAGCGTGGCACAATTATTAGTAATACATAGCTATTTCCTAACCATTCAATGACAATAAAGAGCAGTTTAAGGAAAACGGAGCCGATTTCAGCCTCCGCCCCCCCCCACGAAAAAAGGAAAAATATTTTCTTTTCAACTTTTTAAAAATGTACATGGCGTTGTTGGACTGTTAAGGTTTAGATACACTACCCCGAAAACGGCTATTGATATTATCAGCGCTTTTCTTTTCTCTCGGCTTGTTTTACTAGGACTTCCCTTGGGACCCGCGGTGCATACACCCGCGAGGAATCGAACCCTCTCTCTCTCTCTCTATACGGCCGAGCAGGGATAGTCACGGAAGTAATAACCGATTCAGCCGGGCGGACGAGGCAGGCAGGCAGGCAGGCAGCCCCACGGAGTGAATGTGATCGAGTCTGGCGGGCTGCAGGGCTGGCGCACGTATCGCTGAGTGGAAGTTCAATCCGATACACAGAGCAGCAGCAGGCGCTGCGCTCCGCTGAGCTCCGCTGCGCCGGGGGCCTTCGCGGCTCGCGGGGAAGATGCCGCCCTGGCGCTCGCGAAGGAGCAGGCCATCATCATCCGGGGAGGCCTAAGCCGCCGGAGCCCGGCTCGAGCAGAGTGCGAGTCGTCCAAGATGCACACGCTGTTAGAGTTAGGCAAACGGACATTACATCCACCAATTATCATGGTGTTCGGAAAAGGCCGCGGGCTGCGGGATCACGGACACACAGAAAGTACTACGCCCTTCATTTGTCGTTACGGAAATATGCAAAGTTCAGCCAGTGTAAGCTCTATGGCGCCTGATTGAAAGGCAACGTCTTGCATGCTGTGCACGCGTGTACTGCGGGGTAGCCTACCCCGAGTCTCACAGGCGCCGAGCTCCCACCATTTACCAGAATGAATCTGAGAAAAAAAGGACACACTTCCTGGACGAGCCCTAATGTCGGTCATGCGCATTTCTCGACCGATTGCACAATAATACTCGGGCACAAAAAATGGTTTTACTCCGGGCTAGGCACGTTTCTCGCCAATCTTTCGGGATGAGGATAAGTTGTATTTCACAAAGATTTGGTGCGTTTACAACGGAAGTTGTAGCAATTACAAGAAGCAGCAGCTTTGTCACTCTGCTCCATTGTAATAGTTCCTTCAAAACAGCCCGAGTCAACTAGCGCCTGCCGCTCGTTGGGTAGGCAACCCAACTCACACGGCCCGTCACCCGCCAACGTCATATCGTGAAACCTCGGGACAACCGACAAGCGTCATAGCGTCATGCACGCGAACGACGGGCGCTTTCGATACTGCACCAGTTTACTGTTGTGTCGTAAAATCCTGCTAACGATCTACTGTTCCTCATTCAAAAACTTCTTTTTTAGAAAATGATGTAGGCATTTGCACGCTCGCCGACCACAGCACCAGTACTAGTGCTGACCGCGCACGGCTGCAGCACCTCAAAGTGGAGGTGGTCATTACACAGTACCTCACAGATTTTGCGCGGGGGTTCCAAACATGCACTATGGTTGAAACTGTGCACAACATGGTTTATTTTTTTCCTAGTGAAAACTCCTTTCAGCTCCGATAGCCTTGGACGTCTCGCACGGCACCCCCGGATAGAGAGAGAGAGAGAGAGAGAGAGAGAGAGAGAGAGAGAGGGAGGGAGGGA